ATAGGATTGATGTAGGAAGAGAAGGAAACATAGGGTAAACTGTTGCAATGATTACTTAAAGCAAAATGTATTTTTTCACATTCATAAGCTAAATACGAATGAAATCCTCTGTTGAACTAACATGCTGATACAAAGCCAATACTTGCAACAAAAGATGAAGTCTCCCCAGTGGAAAATGGAGCTCAGCCTCTACATGAGGAACCAAGAAAGGGAAGGCAACCAAATGTGGTACAAATGTATTATTCTTTGCTAGTAGGGAAAATTTCAAGCTTATCATCTGAAAGAACAAAAGAAAGCAATACTTATGTCTGACTTACACGTTTTAATAATTAATATAAAGCATTTAGCAGGTGCATTTAAATATGATTTTTGACTGCATAGTTTGAGATGGTGCACAATATTTGGGAATAAGTCACACTGAATTAAGTAGGACTGACTTCTGAGGAAATATGCATAACACTGCTCTGCATGTTAAGCATAAACTTATGTTGGGCTTGTTTGGTCCAGTTGCAAATTATTTGATTTCTGATAATTTTAAAAAATGACTCTAATTTTTATTACATCACTGTCTTTTGCTCAAGGGTGGTACTTATGCAGTTGTCCAGACAAATGAGTTTAAGTGGATTTAGCCAGGTTAGCCCTATTGCAGGAAAAGGGACAAGTATTTCATGGCTGTTGATGATTGTTGAATTAAGCTAATACTTCAGCTCATCAGTTACATTAAAATGACTGAAGGGCAACCTCCCTCGCTGAAATGTGTGGTGCACTAGGAGTTAATTTTGTTTTTCAACTGAGTGGTGCCTTCCATGAACATTTAAAAAGACACTGTTTTAACTACTATGGTTGCATGTTGGCAGCATTCCAAAGCCCAAGACTCTGCCTGTTGATACCACATAGTTGCCAACTCTTGAAAAATAAACTTCTGATCAAAAATATGAGTCTGCTGCCAAGCTTCTTGCTCTACAACTAGGTGGCAAGGGCAGTGCGACATAGGCCCTCACTCTTCTTGCTTCTTAGTTGCCTAGATTCCATCATCTACAGCAAGAAATATTTGAAATTTCATATTGTATAATCAAGGACTGAACTAACTTGTAGCAGAATTGAGAAGCTTCTTTGAATAATTTATAACCTTCTGTTGCATATAAAGCTCTATATTAAAATTCAGAATCAGAAACTATAGATCATTTAGACACTGATTCTGTTACATCAATAGGTTGATAGTATTCCCAGTGTATAAATATTCCCAGTGTACAAAAGTTGCATGATTATATTATAAATACGGTATGGCAAAGTTCAAAGCAGAGAGGAGGAGAGCACACCCAGGATAAACAGTAATGAGTGGGGGTATATAGCCACTGCATAATCTTACCAGTCTTCTGTCATCAAGCCATCTATGTAAGATCCCAACACAATTCAGGTCCCAGTTGTGTCAAAGGCTCAATGCAGCAAGTGGAATTGAAAGACTAAACAGGTGAATACAGTTCCAGGCCAGTAAGGCCAGAATCCTCTTTTGGATTCTCTCAATTGCTTTATCCCACTACTCCAAATTTCTTCTTTCCCCTTCCTCTGCATTCTCCTTTCTTCAAAACATTGGTCAGATTCACCTGGAGGAGTCCGAGCCGTCGGGTAGTGGTGCATGCTTGATTACATATGGAGGGGAAGGAAGGGGCAGAAGCGGCACAAAGTGGTGGGCTGGTGTCCTAAGGCTTGAAGATCTGGATGGTGTTCCCAGCTTAGAACATTCAGGTCAGTTCTGGAGGACTGGCAACCCTCAGTGTGTTGTGCACACCAGGGCAGACTGGCCTACTAACAAGTAATGATGCTATTGTAGATGGAAAAAAAACCCAACAAAACAAATGCCAAAAACTGGTGCTCTTATTAATGTAAAAAAATAAAGATTATGCAGAGGTTAGAGATGTCTTACTAAAAATTCAAGGAATTAATTTCAAAATTTTAATAAGCCTGCCAGATCACCATATTAGTGGTGTATTATGAGCATTTATTGTGGTGACTCTTTGTGCATCAATATAAACAGTCATAGTGCTCTGGAGGAATTATTAAACAAGTGGAGTAATGGGATTCTTTTTACATGCCTCCCTGAAGCCTGCAAGACTCCATCAATCAGCATTACTTTGAGCTTAAATGTTTTAAATAATATTTCCTAAGAATTAAGTCTAAATATGTAGAGTGTGATATAATAGAGGGTACATATGTAAGAACATATGTACATATGTAAGTCACAAAAAGGCATCCCAGATTTCTTCTGCTCATCCCCTTCCTATTACAGTGGTACCTTGGCTCACAAATGCCTCAGTTCACGACCAAATTGGGTCGCAAACAGAATTTTTTTTTGTCAGGTTGTGAATCTGCACTGGGGGACAATCGTGATCGTATCCTTCTTCCCTGCATAGGCACAATTGCGGTTGTGCTTGAGGGGGCGTATGGCCGTAATTGTGGTCACGCTCATGCAGGGAAGATAGGCACGACCATGGTCATGCTTGGGGCGGGGAGAGAGCCATGATCGCCCCCGTCTCCCCACCAAGCGCACCCGCGATCGTGCCCGTCTTCCCTGTGATTAAAAAAAAATATTTACAGAACGGATTAACCTTATTTGCATTGAACCTTATGGGGAAATTTGACTTGGCTCATGACCAATTTGGGTCGTGACCAGAGTCGTGGAACAGATTAAGTTCATGAGTCAAGGTACCACTGTACTTTGTAGCAGATAAAACTGATACAGATAGTCCCCAGCTTAAGAATGGGTTCTGTTCCTGAGAATGTCCTTAACTCAAATTTGTATGTAAGTCGGATCACATGAGTAAGCCAAACGTTTGTCTTAACACTTAAGAAACTCTTCCATATTCACTAAAACATCTGAAACACAATACAGCATTGTAATAATGATAATAATACAGTAATAAGAAAGTACAGGTACTGAAGAGAGAGAATCTCTTTATATGTGTGTAGGTATGCGGTACTGTGAAAAACAAAAGAAATAGTTCCTATTTTTAGTTTAGAACATTTTTGAGGTAACATTAAGCCTAACATTAACTGATGGTGCTGGAGAGTCAGAGTTTGTGCCGCTGGAAGAGGGGGTGGTTACTACTGAAGTTGCTTTCTTGAGGTAGTCCTCAAGGGTTGTTTGTACGGCCATTTTATTTTTCTCATCATAAGTGAACTTGTAGCAATTGATGACCTGGTTGCAAGGCCTCAAATGCTACAGAAAAACTGAAGGGGAACTTCCATGTCCTACATGTACCCTGAGACACGCTGGCTTGGGTACGTTTGAGCCAACCCTGCGCCATTAATACTATATCTTTAGGGAACTAGGCTGCCGCTGATTATGTGTTTTCAAACTTGTAGCATAGTTTCCTAGAGATACTGCTTGACTGTCTCTAGGGAACTATGTAGCCACTGATGATACTTCCACAAATGTGTTGTGTAGTTCCCTAGAGATAGTAACACTTTTTGTTAGAGATAGTCATATGGGATTTGTGGCAGTTTGCGCGTTCATAACCTGGACATTTGTAACCTGGGACTACTTGTAACTGAAACATTGTAACAAAATGCAGTGAACTGACAGGTTTCTTAAAGTTTCATCATCCCTGGAGGGAGGAAAATGTGCCTGGTCTCAGTGCATAGTCATACCTGGTTAGGAGGACAGCCATTTTGATGAACTATTTCAGCATTCATGTTTATTAATTATAACCCACAAATTATTTTCGGCAATTCACACCCCAGTGTGAGATATCTGGTGCTTTTTTCCTGCCATTTTGTTATTATAGATTCATATATCCTCACTGTTTGGGTGCCATATTTAAACATGGCAAATGCAGGAAATCACATCTGCATCTTCTGTTCTATAAATAAATGAAAAAGGAGGCAATAATTCATAATGGCTTAATGGCACACACTATTTGTCAGTTGAGGTGGCTAGGCCTGTGTAACTCGTTTAAGGTTTCCCAAATGTTTTTCATGGCTGGGTGGAGATATGAATATGAATATGGAGATATGAAGTCTCCAGCATCAAGTCCTTTTAATGGGCCAGTTCATTTTGTGAAAGAGAACTCCCATTTCTCTGGCTATGATGCTATTAACCATCTGTACTCTCTGACTCTGAGGGCATGGTCTTTATGTCTAGTACACAGTCCTCCATTTGAAGTGCAGCCTGTTTCTATCTCCTCTGAGAGGAGTAAGGATCAGTAATAACTGCTAGAATGAGGGTAGGGCTACACTTACTCCTCACTTCCCAAAGCAGCTTCTGGAACATCCTGCCACCAGAAGGATCTGTCAGGTCATCATGAATCTGGGAGCTCCGTCCTTTCAGAAGAGCTGTTCAGAAGAAGAGAAGAACCCTGAATTACTTTAAGAGACCTTGTATTATGTATCTGATTTTTACTCCTAAATGTCTAAAGCACTGGTTGAATTGTGTGTGTGAACCATCGATAATGTTTACTGTGATTTGTACGATGTTATTGCACTATCCGTTGAGAATTTTGGATTGAAATACGGATAACATTTGAAATAAATGAATAGAAAAATAAAAAAGTGGACACTCGAGCCTGTCACCGTCGGACACAGGAGTCCTCCCTGTGAAATTCTGCGTGCAGCTGAGTTTTTTTTTTCTTTAAATAACACTTTTGTCCACAGTGGAAGCCACTTGCTTCATTATCAGTTCCCATAGTCCCGGAAGACGTCCCCTTCTCGCCAAAAACAGGCGCTTTGGGGCTAGGCTGAAACGTAACAACATTAAGAGCGCCGTCCTGCGCATTTGGAAACAGAAAAAGTCCTACAACTCCCAGCATGCCCCAGAAACTAATTGAAACGTCAGTTCTCTGATCTCCGACCTTCCCCTCCCTGTTTTAAACAACTCCCTCAGCATTTTGAGGGGAGGCAACTAGGAAGTTAGCACTGATTGGCTGCCTGGTTCGCGCACGAGGGAGACCAATAGGATTACTCCTGCGAGAAAAAATGGTTAACGGGGTGGGTGAAGCAAGACGGAATCGCCCGCAGTTTTAGACTTGTTCAATCAGAAGCGACATTCAGGGGACGGCCAATCAGAACTCGGAGGAGCTCTGAGGGCGCAAGCGGAGCGGAGGGGAGGAGACGCCCGCTCCTTCGGTCGGAGACTCGGCAGACGCTGGGGCACCGCGGCGCAAGGAGGACGGGGTTAGGAAGGGAGGGGCCCTGGCTGGGAGTCGCCTGTCCGCTCGTTCTTTCCCGGAGAGATTCGTCAGCGCAGCACGGGCTGAGGTGAGGGCTTTGCGCGCGCACAGCTTGCCGACCGCCCCCCGGTTCCCACTGCGCCCCCCGCCGCTCAGTTGGGAGGGTGGGAGCTGATGCTGAGGGGAAGAGGCGTGGGAAGAGGCTGCTGGGCTGTTCTCCCCGCGCCATCTGTTTGGGGGAATATAGTGAGACTGGGACCTCTCGAGTGAGAGAACAGAGTGTTGGCTATGGGGAGAGGGAGCATGGTAAGTGTGTGTGTGGGGAGTCCTGTTCGGGTTCTATTTTGGGCACTTTTCTAGAGAACGAAAAAAAATTATGCTGAAAGTAGGGCTGAATCCAGTAGAACTTGGCGAGGGAAAGCAAGAGAATTAATTAATGGGCTACATTTGTGTCCCGCCTTTTTTCCAAGGCTCTTGCAGATGCCGTGTTCCGTCATGAGTTTAGGCTGTCTATCCTGCTGTCTGCTTTCCTTCGTATGAACTGTTTCGTTCGCTCTGGTGGGAATAAAATCGAATAACTGGAGATGAAAAGCTGTTCATTTAATCTTCTCAGTAACTCTCAGGCAAATTCAAGCCAAGAATATATTGGCTCAAGGTCATTTCCCCATGAGCCTTGGGGAAGGCTAAAGATACGGATCCAGGTTTTTCTGTTCATTTGATGTCTGCAATTTTTTAACGAAGTTTTGCCATCCGATGTTTTGAAAGACTGGTAGAGGTGGCAACAGAGTTATTTCCTTCCTTTGCCCTCCAGTTGAGGGGATGAGTGTACTGTGCAGCTTGTGCCTATGAGGGATTAAGCTAGTGAAAAGGGGGGAAAAGGCTTGACGAGCAGTTAGAGGGTTATGGATAACTATTTAATCGCACATGTGTGTGATAAACTTCTTTCTACTTGGAATTTGTTCATATCAAGCAACCTATTTTCTGATGTCTCGATCACCCTGTAGTTGGCTCCAATTTCCAGTGACTGTTCTTGTATTGACTGTGCAGTTGGGGGAATATCTGTTCTTCCTTCCCCTTTTTGCAGGTTGCATCTTGTTTCTGGTTTAGTTGCAGATTTGATTTTGCTTAGCTCTGGAGATCTGGTAGGCAAAGCTACAGATGTAGAAATGAGAGTGAATTCTTGCTCTTTGGGGTAGATATTGACAGCCTTGAAAGCAGTTGTTAAGGGATCCTGTGTAACCATTACAGGTAACTCTCTGGGTTTCTTATTTATTCTTTGGGTTGAGACATTTCTTAATGATGAAATTGTCAACTATACAGGGGTGTTCCTGAGCATGTTTATCCCTGGAACTCTAGTTCTGTGCAACCTTGCATCTATCCAATATCCTTTTTTTAAAAAAAAAATATGAGTACATTAATTCTTTAAAAATGCCTTTGACCTTAAAGACTAATAACTCTGTGATATTAACAGGCTGATAATTCTGTTAAGGTGCAACAAGCCTGTGTTCTGAACATCTTATCTAGAGATATGGTACTTTATTTATTTATTTGATTTTTACCCCACCCATTAACCAAAATATCATGTCCTTCTCTCACAAATGTTTAGGGCAAACTTAACACGTTGCAAATGAAATTTTGATTGAGATCCCCTTTCTATCTTACTTATTATTGTGGAACTTAAATAGTTTTCACTATGGAGCTAAAAGCAGCTGGGCAAAGCAAAATTAATAGAAAATGGGGTACAGGGAAAGTATTACTCTCCCTTTTGCCCCTGCCCCACTTCCCTGATATTCAGATTGATATTTTTAAAAATTAAAAGAAACAAAAATGATCCTCTGGGAAAACATGGCTCTCCTGGATTGTCATGTCTGGCTTTAGGAGGCTGTGTCTGGTGACTTTTCTGAATGGAGGCATTTGAGAGAAGGCATTGAATGTTTGGAGTAACATCATGGGAAGAGAGAATTTCATGGAATAATCAGAGATGTAGCAAATAAGACTTAAGGGTGAAGAGGGTAGGCATCTCCAGAAATGATGTGGTAGGCAGGAATGGTTAAATGCTATCTTGGTTTTACTAAACTTACTGAGTTCTCTGTCATTTTTATTTATCACAACAATTAGGAATCTTTCTATAAATTTTCTAGTTAATCTAATCAGGTAGCTGAGAAAGGTAAAAATAAATTTCATTGAACTCTGCAGGCTTGGAAGAAGTTGACTTTAAGATTAAAGTCCAGAAATGATTAACTGGCCTTTATCCTGGGAAGCAATTAAGTGACTTGCCTGCTGAAAGAGAATACATGGCATTCCTAATAATCTACCTTTACTTTCTGTTCTGTCTTCACATAACTCTGCAGTGAGATCTCAATTTAGAATAAATAATTCCTTCGGAATTATAATGGGAATACAGTTATATGAGTAGGTAGTTCAGACATAATCTGACATTGGCATGTCTTGCCAAAAAGAATACAACCTTGTGATCTCACACAAGGTTCCACAAGGATGGAAGTTGAAAGGACATTCTCCCATGAGAGTCACTGTGAATTGAAGGTTGGGCTATAAATGTATAAATTGAATAGGTCTTTAAAAATGCACAGTGACACTGTTGGAATTTGTAGTGTTTGGTTGCATCTTTCCTCAGTAAATTGGTTGCTTTGGTTGTAATGAGTCAGATGCTAGTATAGCTTGCATTTCCTTTCCCTCCACCCTGTTAAAAGAGACTTGCTGTATGAGACAAGAACTTCATTTATTCATATACTCAGTTGCACCAGATTCAGCTTACCTGGTGGCCAACACCTTCTGATTGAAATCATAGTCTGGTGAAGATAATTCTAGTCCTAGATGTGTATAACATTTAGTTTTTCTGTAATTATCTCAATAAATTCTCTGTCTTTCATGAAGTACAGCAAAACAAGCCCAGGAGCTGAGTTAAATGTTCCTGCATATCTGATTTTCTTCCTTAACATACTTTACTTAAGAGTGCCATGCCATTCCTTTGGGAAATATATCTGTTTGAAACACTAAGTTTAATGTTGATCAAACTGTTCGTTTGTAAATTTATGTTCTTTTTGGGCTGTGGAATGATCACTTTACTTTTTAAAAATTCACCCCCCATCCCCAATTGGAAATAGGAAGGTCAAATCAAAATCTTAAATAGGTTTTTAACTCTGAGACCTGGTTGGAGAAGATAATCTCCACTGATACTTCTTGAAGACTCCAGCAAAATGTGCTTGACATATTTCCTTTAAAGTTTAACATAAAAAGACTACCATTATCCCAAACATTCTATATTTTGAATATAGAAATACATTGCTGAGGCTTGCCAAATTTAATCTTGCATATAGGGGGATGCTAATTAGAGGAATGATTTTTGCTTAGAGCTACACACATTTTAACAGGTTTTCAGAATTAGTGTTGCTCAGTAAACACATATTTGTTGGTTCTCTAGCCTTCTATCCTAGAATGGGGCCTAATGGAGTCTTAAGGCTCTTCTGTGCTCTCATAGTTCTTGTAAAAATGAAATCTAGTTTCTCAGCATTCTCAAAATTCCCTCATACTTTGACAAAAGCATGTGTGATGGAAACCTGGCTTAGGGCAGGAGTGCTCTTCGACTCAACTGTGTTTACCAGGTTTTGAACCTCTGCAGCAGTGGAGATCTGATTTGCATTTGTTTCCAGGTGGTTTTCCCTGTGGCTCAGAGCACATACTTGAGGGCAGTGAGGTATCTTTTGATGAGGGAAATATCTGGGTGAACAAGCGTTAGAGTCCTGTTTAGGCCATAACCTATGTTGGTAAGAAAACTGAAGTCAGTCTTGTTTTCTGTCTCAGCAGTGTCTAGTGGTTAATGCTCTGTTCTGCAGTTGGCGGATTCTTCTGAAGCCCACTGTGACACGTTTGCAAATAACTTTGCTGATAACAGCAAATGTATGCATTCCAAATTCAATTTCACATTGACAACCGGTTCTCGTAGGATTATTGACACAGCTGCTTGTCTTATTTTGAGGAAGGAATTTCAGTTCAGATGGAAGATGTGGATATGTTGCTGGATGGGTGGTAATGAGATGGTAGACACATGTCCATCTTGAGTTGTAAGACATGCCAGTGGCAGTCTGGCCAAGTGCATGATGGATGTCATAATTCTCTCATGGAAAGAGGGCCATGTTCTGTTTCCTGTAAAAGAGGCAGTGTTGAGAATTTTAATAAGTTTTCTTTGGTTTCCACCACCCTTGGTAATTGTAGGCCATATTTTAATCTACATTTGTTAAGAAAGTATTGATGGCATTATAATATCATACTTTGGGGATTAATCTGGTTTATCTAGATCATCTTCAAGGCCTGGTATAACCATGTAACAGTGTCAGTTGCCCTGCTGAATGAGTTATCCTTGGAACCTGACAAAAAGTATCTGTGTTTCTTTTGCTGGACTTTTTAGTGAAATTTAATATCTGTAGCTGTGGTATCATTCAGGCTTTGGGAGAGCCATTTCATGGTGGTACACTCATATTTGGTTAAGTGTACCCAAAAGTGATGCTGGTAGGACTGGGTCCCTTAGCTTTTGGGTCCCTAAGATTTCTATTTTGTCCCCTATGCTCTTTACCATCTACAGATCATTCAGAATTTTGAACTAGTACACACCTGTATGTTTGTTCCTTTTTAGTGCTTGTCAAGGTGGCTGTGGATATACTGAATACAGTGGACACGGTGAGGGTCTGAATATTGGCAAATAAACTGAGGTGCAATCCAGACAAGTGAGGTCTTTTTGGGAATTGGATAAGCCAGCCTATATTCTGTGTATAGGCATATTTAAGAGATGTATTAACACAGTGAATGCATTCATTCGTAGATTTTATACTGGGAGCCATTACAAAAAATAAAACCTGGCAACAGATCATGATATTGTGTCTTATTCAGGTTTGCATTAAAAACTGATGTTTAAAAAAATCATAGCTCTTGTGGGGAGTGTAGTAGACTTTCTTGACTCATTATTTTCCAAGCTATATTTTACAAAAACAATCCAGTTATAAAAGTAAATCTCACATTTGAAGTTTTAGGTCTTCACTTAGAACCAAGTTTACTTTGATCTTGGTCTGTGGA